TCTCTCTGGAGCTCCAGACCTGCAGAGCCAGCTGCCCACAGGCACTTCAAACCCAACACATCCTAAATCCTTCCTCCTAGTTTCCCACCAGTCAGAGACCTGGGTGTCAGCCTCAACTCCTGCCTCTCATCCATTCACTCAACCATGTTTACTAAGCGCTCACTGTGTGCCAGTCTTAGTGCTTGGGTTACAGCAGTGAGCAGAACCAACAAACCCTGTCCTGATGGAGCTGATGTCCAGTGCTCAGGGCCAGGCACCATGCTCTGTGGCTTCTTCCTACTAAACAACTAGACTCCAGCCTCAGGGCCCTCCTTATGTCCCCCAACTCTAGCCCTCTCAGTGGTCTCCCCAAACCCACACTCGCCCCGTCTAATCTGTTGCACAGCTACCAAAGGGATCTTTCTAAAATCCAAGTCTGAGCATGTCATTGCTCCCTACTCCCTGTAGAAGAGAGATTGGTAAGCTATTTTCCCCCTGTAGGATCCTTTTTAAAAAAATGATTCTGAAGGGTTTCCTGAGAGCTGCAAAGTAAAAATGACCAAATTTGACCTGCTTTGGTTGAAGCAAAAGCATGGGACAAAGCTCAGTAAGTACTTGCTGAATGAATACACAATTGAAAAGAATCTTTCCTATATAATGAAAGGGTAATATGCAAATCGACCAAAAGGTGGGACGACTGGTCGGTATGATGTACACTGACCACCAGGGGGCAGGCACTCAATGCGGGAGCTATCCCTGGTGGTCAGTGTGCTCCCACAGGGGGACAAGCCCAGCTGATGGCTGGTGCAGTGGTGGTGGTGGGAGCCTCTCCTGCCTCTGCAGCAGCACTAAGGATGTCCGAGTGGCGACTTAGGCCCGCTCCCTGAGGGCTTCCAGACTGCTAAAGGGTGCACACAGGCTAGGCTGAGTCCCCCATGCCCCGAGTGCACAAATGTCATGTACCGGGCCTCTAGTCTTCTCATAATATTCAGACTTAACATCCACAGACAACTTTTATCTGTTTATGAAGCAGGAAGGAAGGGTTTCAAATCCTAATTCTGTTATTTAATGGCTTTTAAACATTGGAAAATATTTTTAAATTCTTTAAATCTTAGTTTTATCATCTTTAAAATTAACATCCTTGATGGAAATATTCTTTATCTCTGATTATGATGGTATTTACACAGGAGTAGGCATGTTTCCAAACTCTTCAAACTGGACACTTTTAAGTTAAATTATACTTCTTTCATTCTTTAAACAGTTTTAAAAGTTGATTGAAAAAATTAACACCCACTTCATCAAATGGATGTAGAGATTAATGAGACAATGACTGTTCAAAACTTAAGCTCAGTTGGCTTGGCTCAGTGGTTGGGTCAACCTATGAACCAGGAGGTCACGGTTCAATTTCTGGTCAGGGCACATGCCTAGGTTGCAGGCTGGATCCCCAGTACAATCAATGATTGTCTCTCATCAGTGATGTTTCTATCTTTCTCTCCCTCTCCCTTCCTCTCTGAAATCAATAAAAAATGTTTTTAAACTTAATACAGAACCTGGCATATAGTAATTGACAATAAAGATTAGCTAATTAGTAAATTAGTAAATTAAATAGTAAGTAGAGTTGCTAATGCCCTCATGACCTCCCTAAAATACCTCCAGAATCCACACTGTGCACGTTGTCTAATAGAGTAAGCCACCTGTCTTCCCACCCATATCTCACATATGGACTCCCCACGCT